CGGCTGTACAAGTGAGTCCTGCTTCCCGGGTGTTGGGTCCTGCACGTGGAGGAGCGGGGCAAGGTGTTGGTGGCACGTGTGCTTGTCGAATTGTTGAAGGTGGAAAACTTTCCACCTTTAACTGCTGTCTGAGGTCCTGTGCGTGTTGCCAGGTTGCACAGGGAAAGCCCAGCAGTGGCATGTAAGATAAGCAGGGATGCAATTGCACAGCTGGAATAAAATCACCCCTTCCCCTCCCTGCGGGGTGATTACAGCACAAAATGATGCCACGAGCGTTTCCTTGTTGTTAAACTCGGCAGAGTGCGAGTGCAGAGGGGGTTCCTGCGACCCGCGCACTGGGGAGTGCACCTGCTCCAACGGGCTGACGGGGAAGCAGTGTGATGTCTGCATGCACGAGTATGAGATCCCCGTGGCAAACGGCCCAGACAGCATGAGGTGTGAAGGTCTGTATCCTGCGGTCCTGGGGACAGAGGTGAGGGAAGCCCAGGGAAAGGGCCTGTGCTGACCACTCCGTTCCTCTGGCAGTGTGTGACAGCTGTGTCCTGCTTCTGCTGGAGGATCTGCAGAGCATCGAGACGTCCTTCCCCTCCATTCGCAGCCAGCTGGTCAACCTCAACGCCAGCTCCATCGCCTGGGCTCGTCTCCACGGTCTCAACAGCACTATGGCGACTGTCGCTGTACGTGGAAGGTTTAACACCATTTTTGGCCCATGGTTCCTGGCCCATTGTCCTGATCTTGGCTCTTTTTGTCCCAGAATCAGCTGCGTGAGTACCAGAGAGCCATGAACAAGGTCAGGCAAAGGACTGACGAGCTGGAGGATGAGAACGTGGACCTCACGCAGGACCTGAACGCGTTGCAGCACAAAGTAGGGTATTTCTCCACCTTCCTCCCCTTGTCAGAGCACGAGTCCCTCCTTTTACCTAAAATGAGGGGTTTGAAGGCCATGAGGAGCCTATTTCAGGCAGGATGGATCTCCTGCCCAGCCAGCACTAGGCTTGGGGGTCTCTTACTTAGATGTCTAGGCTGTTAAACATCTTGTGATATGGATGGTTGTTTCTTGATTTATTACTTGCTTCTGAGGCAGCTCCAACTTTAACAAGTAAAGATAAATTCAATAAAATGTCACTTATAGAAGGAGCATACAAGGAAGGATCGTAAACATCTAGGTCCGTCCTGGATGCATCCATGCCGTGGCAGGGAGAGCCTGGGCTTTGTCAGCGAACAAGTCGACCCTTTTTATTGTAGTAGTCCTTGGAGGCCTCAGTACAGCAACACCTTTTGCAAGGTGCAATCTATATGCAGTCTATAAAACACCAGTTGCGTCTTCAGAGAATTTATAAACTGAGGAGAATTTGATTTGATTTGATTTATAAACTGCCTGCTCCTGATCTAAGGGAGAGGGAAGAGTCTCTATTTGGTAATGTACATCCCTTGGCAGCTATGGACAGATTGCTTCTGTCTATATGTACACCCATGCCCTGAATGGCCAAACTGCAGCCCTCCATCTCTTCTTGTGTCCTGGTCGGGGTGCAGGTGGGCCTGGCTCCAGGCTCTAAGGCTTTTCCTGTGTTAGGAGTGCAGTGAGTGCTGTCCCTCTGTGGTCTTAGGGCTGATTCAGGATCCAGAGCCTGTTGCACTTGGGAGCTGCACGTGCTGCTTGTGCTTCTCTGAAGGTGGTAGACGAGACCATGACTGAATGCATCGTAGGCAAGCAGCGCAGGGCAGGCTGTTGCAGGAAACATGACTTTCTCAGTTCAAGGACCTCAAAAACTGCACATTCCCAAGCCTCGTGTGCCTTTTGGCAACATCTTTCCCTCTGATGGATCACACGAAACATAAATTTCATGCCTCAAGCTAATCCAGCGGTTTTTGTTGTAGATGACAATGACTCACAGAGAAGCAAACCGTATTGAGCAGCACACAAGAGACACTTACCAGAGGGGGGAGCAGCTCCTGCTAAATATGCAAAGCATTCAGAAAGGCATTGCAGGTAGGTAAAGAAGGGCCTCTGCTTTGTGATTTTTTTCTGCTGGGAATGCCACGCTCTTGCTTTCAAACAGCACCAAGTACTGCATCACTTAGAAAGAGGCATGGAGAAAACAAGAGGAAATACAAATTAAATGGAGATCCCTGCAGAATTCTGTCTGTTCAGGTAGACCAGGCTTAGTGAGTCCCAGCTGTTTGGCTAAACACAATCTTTGGAAAAAAACACATTCAACTTGCAGAAATGTTATTAAAATGCATAAAACCAGGGCAATCTGCATTACTGCTTCAGGAGAGATTTAGCAAAACAGGGAGTGAGTGACTGGATCTAGGAGAGGAGGCAAAACCACAAAAAGATGCTTGGGACGTAGCATGCATTACTGTAACTGCCAGGGAGACAGAACTGTGGGGCAATACCCCTGAGTTACCTTGAGCAATTCAGGTGCCTGAGTACTGCACGAGAGCTGGCTGCAGTTTGTTGAGGGTGATTTGTAAGAGAGGAAAGATCTCAGGGACTATGAAGGACCTGGGTTGGTCAATGCTAACGGAGAATCTGGATTTCTCTGCAGACTTGGTGCGGCAGATGGCCAGGTTTGGGGCAGCAAACACCAGCACCACCTCCACCGAGGAGTTTCGGCAGAAGATGGCTGAGGTGGAAAGGATGCTGAGGGAGATGAAGGAGCGGAGCCTGGGCAGCCAGGAAGAGCTGGCAAGGCGCGAGCAAGAGGAGGCTCAGAAGCGTGAGTCTGGCTCAGTGGCATGGGCCAGGGCTGCACAGACCCCACTGGGTCTAGCCATTCCTGATGGCCTGGCTTGGAGCCCATGCAGATGCTACACATCGTGATCATGTTTGGAGAGTGCTGTTAACAAATAGGCACCCCCAGCAAGTTTTACAGTAGTTTCAGGGTCCCCTGTGACACTCCATTTATGGTTCCTTTTCCCTTGAGGTGAATTTTAGAGCAGATTGTACTAGCTGGATGGGGTTTCTCCGTCATCCAGAGCCTTTCAGGCATGGCTGGATGTCCTTCTGAAAGAGATCCCATCCCTCTCACCAGGACTGGGGGTTTGGAGACAATCTTTGATGAGATCCTGTGCTATCCAGGCTGAGGGAGGGAGGGAGGGAAGATGGTCACTTCTGGCCTCGATACCTGCCAAGTGAGACCAGAACCAGACTTTACCACAGCTAAGCACAGAAAGAGCCCTTTAACACAGGAGGATGAATTAGTAACAGTTCTCATCTCTTCCATCCTCAGTGCTGCATCGGGTGAAGAGTGAGCTGCACGCCCGCTGGGAGTCCAACCAGGACCTGGTGAGCAGCATCCAGGACCAGCTGGCGCAGCACAGCTCCCAGCTGATGGATCTCCGTGATGCCCTCAACGAGGCTGTGAACAAAACCAGACAAACAGAGGACTTGAACAGCCTGAACCGCAACAACCTGGAGGAGAGTCAGGTAGGCCTTCACTGGGTGATCCTGTACTGCTGTGCAGTGGCAGGGGGGCTACCCCCGTGGCGGTTGCCCTCCCCCAGCCCCACCGGTGCCTAACCCCATGTCTGTGTGTCTAGCAAAAGAGCCGTGAACTCCAAAAGCAGCATGTGCTGGTGCAGGAGACCCTGAGGATGGCCAAGGACTCTTTGGCCCAAGTCTCCAACTTCCTACAGAAGATGGAGAGCGCGAAGGAGGTCAGTGACAGAGGTGCTTCGGCATGGGCAGAGCGCAAGGGGGTGGCAGCCCTCAGTCGTGACGTGTGTCCTTGCAGGCGTACGAGAAGCTGGCAGCCTTGCTGGATGGGGCGAAGCTGCCCCTGACTGAGCGGGTCAAGAAGTTCTCCCCAGCCAGCAGCAAGATCCCCATCGTGGAGCAGGCAGAGGAGCATGCCCGGCTCCTGGATGAGCTCGCGAGGAACCTGTCCAGGTGAGGCACTGGTCCTGACACTCACTAGTCAAGCCATCTCCTACCGGAGTTGGGGATGGGAAACTGCAGCCCCATGCTATGACGGGGGAGCAGAGGGGTACTGTCTCCAAAGCTTTATCCTGGAGCACATGTTGTGATGAGGAACCCAAAGGGATTTGTCTGTGGGAGCATGGACAAGAGCCCAGCGTGAGTGGTCTTTGTGGACTTGATGGCTTTGTCTTCCAACACAGCATTATCCAGAGCACAAACCAAGATGGCTTCATCCAGCGGGCGATTGATGCCTCCAATGCCTACGCCAGCATCATTGAAGCTGTGAAAAAAGCTGAGCGAGCTGCCCATGATGCTGATGAGGCAGCCAGCAAGGCTTTGATGGTACGTGCTGTGGGGAGCCTCATGAAGATGGGCAAAAGCCAAACTCCCCCAACAGTCCTCCAGCTGTTCGTGCCCACACATAGGGCTCTGCTGCCCCTTTCCTCTGAGACTTGAGCACTTTGCTCTGTGCCACGCTGGCTCCAGAATCTTGGGATTTGGGTCTCCCCGTCATGCCCCAGCAGCGCACCCCACTGTGATTGTCTGAATGAGGATTTTTGTGTGCAGTCAGGGCCGGAGACTTGAATTCCTCTTCAGAGTCTCAGGCAGCACATGTTTGTTTTACAGAGTGTCATATCAGAAAATCTTGAGGCTATTTCTAAAGAGCTGAAGAGGAACAGCAGCAACCTGGAGGAGGCTGTGAGGAGAGAGCAGAGAAAACTCAACGGGGGTGAGCGAGGCTCCTTGCAGGGTGTAATGTCCTTCAGGCTGGACTGAGATCCAACACACAGCATATGTATTTCTTTAATTGCAGTTGTTAAGGACACTCTGCAGAGAGGAAAGGACAAGCTGGCTGACCTCCGTGTGAAGAAGGAACAGCTCCTGAGCCAGCTCCAGTCTGTGCAGGACATGCTGGGCAGGGATCAAGGTTTGTCCTGGGATAGCTAGACTGGTTCTCTCTGCTCCCTTCCTCATGCCCAGGCTGTGACTAAATGGTGCTTCCTCCCCACTCCTGGCTATCCTAGAGATTTTTCTCCTTTCTTTCCAGAGGACACTAAAGAGATGATCCAGAATGCCAAAGCGGCAGCTGCTGAGGCCAATGAAACAGCTGCAAGAGTGGAAGATAGCCTGAGCACTATGAAGAAGAATCTGGATGAGTGGAAAGACCAGTACGGAGACCTTCGAAATGAAGACCTGAACCAGGCAGTCCAGGATGCCAGGAAATCTGGTGAGTGCTGAGCCTGCTGGGCTGCCAGGGCTGCGCCTGGCACAAGCCAGTGCATGGACGGATGTCCCCACGGAGCTCCATGCTTTTGGAAGCTGTGCTTTGCAGCTCCAGGTTAAGAGTAGAGGGAGGTAGCAGCCAACACTGGGTGATTTAAGTCCTGGCCCTTTATTTTTTTCTCTCCCTGCAGTGTCTGTACCTTTACTGCAGGAGATGGCATGCACTAGAGCATTTTCACAACCCCCCATCAAGGCTGCTGGATTTAGGGGATCATTCTGTGACTCTGCTCCCAGCTGCCACTGCTTTGACTTGCATGTCTCAAAACTGCCTGAGCTTTAGATCCCCCTTCCTCACTAACCTTCAAAACCCTTGGCTCCTCTCCAACCACAGTGTCCAGCCTGGAAAGCACCATCCCGCTGCTGCTGGAGAAGCTGAGCAGCCTGGAGAACAGGAGGAACAAGAACGCCACTGTGTCAGAGAACATTGTGCGGATCCGGCAGCTCATCACGCAGGCGAGGAACGCTGCCAGCAAGGTAGGCTTGTGGGAGGGTGAGGGCTGTGCATGGGGTTCTGGGGGCTTGGAGTGAGCACGGGCTTACCTGAGGGTAGTATACAAATGGGAGAGTTATCTAGAAGAGCTCTGGGACCACCAGGCAGGGTCTCTTTCTCATGGGAAGACTCCAGACAATGCTTTGACTTGATAGAGCTGACAGTGACGAGAGAGGCAGCAGCAGTGGTTTCAGTACCGTGGGTTTGGATTTCTCTCCCTCTAGGTGAAAGTCCCCATGAAGTTCAACGGCAGCTCAGGTGTGCAGGTCCGGATGCCCAGCAACCTGCAGGATTTGGCAGCCTATACGTCCCTCAAATTCTACATCCAAAACCCCGAGCCCAGGAGCCAGCAGCGACAGCAGGACGAGGCAGAGGAGGGGCGGTTCGTGTTGTACCTGGGCAGCCGGGAGGTGAGATGGGACCGTGCGGGCAGGAGGAGGGCAACGCGAGCCCGCGTTGGTAGCATCAACTGGGGGATCACGCCTGGATGTCAGCCCCTCACCCTTCCCCTGCTCCCTTGAGTGTCTTTGTGGGGAACATGAACAGGCTCTGGGTGCAGCCGCCAGCCTGGCCGCAGGTGGATGGGGAGAGCGGTGTGAATGGGGGCGTTTGGCCAGCGCAACCCTGGGAGCATCAAGGAAAGCATCACTTGGTGCTCCTGCCTGTCCTGAATGCCAATGTGTGGCCCTGTCTCCCCCTGTATTCAGGCTGCTGGAGACTACCTGGGCATCGTGCTCAAGGACCACAAAGTGCAGTGGGTCTACAAACTGGGTGATGAGGAGCCAGCCTTCCTAACTGTTGACGAGGATATTGGAGAGCAGTTTGCCACCATCAGCATCAACAGGTAGGAACTGATGGTACACATCCCAAGGAAATTCAGTGGAAGACTGTCCCTGCAGCAGATGTGGGTAGTGCTGTGCCCAAGCCCAGGCAAGCCCTGAACTTGCAGAGGTGCTGTGAACTCCATCATCCAGTCATCCTTAAATGATCAGCACTGAGATACCACCTCCCTGCTAGTTTTTTTTGAGTTATCTTACCAGGTCATGGAGGGTCTGGGGGTGCCTGCAAGAGAGGAAAGATGAAGCTCATCATGGAGCATCCGTTCGGCCTTGTGGCAGTGCTGATAACACAAGTGCTGACTCCTTTCAATGCACTGCTGCTGTGGGGCTCCCCAGAGGGAGATGCACCCCTTTCTGGTAGTGCAGGGAGGCCCTTTGCTCAGGGAGGGCAGGGTTTGCTCCTCGCTGGGGGTCTCCCCTTGTCTTGACCATCCCTCCCTGCTGCAGGATCCTGCAGTATGGGCACATGTCGGTGATCGTGGAGAGGCAGACGGTGCATGAGACCAAGGGAGACAGCGTGGCCAAGGGGGAGCAGGGGCTGCTCAACCTTGACCCGCACAATGTGGTCTTCTACGTGGGTGGCTACCCCTCCAGCTTCACGGTGAGACAGGCAGCAGGGAGGGAGGCTCAGTTTTCTAGGAGGTATCAGTGATACCTTTGGAGCTTCTTGGCAGCGGGGGGAATCAGGATCAAACTTGTCCTAACAGTCTGGTTTCCTTCCCAGCCCCCTCCCACTCTGCGCTATCCCAACTACCGTGGGTGCCTGGAGCTGGACACACTGAACGAGGAGGTGGTGAGCCTGTACAACTTCCAACGCACCTTCCAGCTGGATACCACCACTGAGAAGCCCTGCGCAAGGTAGGGTACCATGCCCAGGCCAAGGGGCAGCTCTGGTCTGTGATGCTTACCCTGACCCTTGGCTGCCCCAGAGCATGGCAGCAGCTTTGGAGTGATGCCTTGGGCCGCTTCTTGTGTCAACTCAGGTCCAAGTCCACAGGAGACCCCTGGTTGACTGACGGCTCCTACTTTGATGGCACCGGTTATGCAGAGATCAAGTTTGAGAGCCAGTTTGGCACAACTAAGCGCTTCGAGCAGGAGATCCGAGTGGTCTCCTACAATGGCATCATCTTCTTCCTGGAGAATCAGGCAGGTGCTTGCTCCCCTGAGGAGCCTTCACACTGCAGCTGGTGGGCAGGGACAATCCCAGCCCCACTTGCAGGCATTCCCGGTTCAGGATACTGGGGAGAAGAGGGCTTTGGAGATGGCAGGGCTGCTTTGGGCGGTATTTCTGCACTATTGTTAAGAGCCACAAGAGGGCTGGACCCAGACCTCACAGCAATCAATTGTCTGGAGCTGGAGGGACTCCCCTGAGCTTGCAGAGCACCCATGCACAGACCCTCCCGGCTGGGCAAGGGTTCACTGGGGCAGGCAGCACTACAAGGAGCATTTCCAGCCTGCAGTGCTATCCCTGCGCCCCAGCACAGGGCTGCTCTTTGCAGATAAATCCCCAATAAATGTGACAGCAGCGTGTCAGGGCACTGGCAGCGGGACCTGCTCCCACCGGTGCTAAAGGGCAGGTCGGGCTCAGCGCCACAGCTGCATGCCAGACACGAGGACGTGGGGCTGAGTGTCCATCCTGCTCCCCCAGGGTCAGTTCCTGTGTCTGGCCATCCGGGACGGGAAGCTGGTCCTTTACTATGACTTCAGCACTGGCCTGGAGATGGCAAAACCCAGCAGCAACTCTTCCTCCCTCACCATCAGCAGCACCACAAACAAAGCGGTAAGGGGGAACAGCCACCTGGCCAGCTCGCGTGGAGGGCCCCTCCTCCAGAGGGTTGGGAGGGGGCACCCGAGCCCTTGTTTTGGGTGTGGGGGGAGAGCTGCAAGAATTTGTTTGACTAGAGCCATGAACTGGATGGACACCTTGTGCTGCCCTCTGTGATGGACCTAATTGCCTGAGGCTGGCAGATCATTTTTCTCGTTTGTCTCCAGATCCAGATTTTCCTCCTCAAAATGAATAACAAGAAGCGCATCCTGGTGCGGCTGGAGCGCCTCACCATCTTCATGGTGGAGCAGGAGAACTCCCTGGAGAATGCCGTCTCCTACTACCTGGGTGGCGTGCCCCCAGCTGTGCTGCCCCCCAGGTGGGTCCAGGCTGTGGTGGGGTGGGACAGTCCACATATTCCTCTGTGGTATCCCTGGGGGTCGTCCTGGCCCTTTCCCAGCCACATCCAGGGATGTTGGGGCCCTGCTGAAGCTCTGGCAGGAGATTTTTCTCTTCCTGTCCATCACTGTGGGTTTGAGGATGGGATATCTCCATCTCTGGTGAGGGATGAGGTGCTGGTGTGTGTCACCGAGTCCTCCTTTGCCGTGCTGGGTGCTTTGGAGCAGCCTTGTGCCTGAGGCACTGGAGATACCCATGGCCATCACGCATCCTTCCCAGGCACTCTGTTCGAAGGGTGTGGGGCCAGATCCTGGTAACACTGCCTGCTTCTCCTGCAGCTTGAAAGCACTCTTCCCCACGGGTGGGCCCATCCGGGGCTGCATGAAGGGTTTGAAGGCTCTTGGCAAATACGTTGACCTGAAGCGCATGAGCACTGTTGGTGTAAGCTACGGGTGCACCTCGGACCTTCTGGTAAGCTCAAAGCCCCAGCAGCCTGGCCAGCGTGCTGGGGAAAGGATCTTTGAGGGAAAGGACCGTGAGACCCCCCCCAGACAGGCCCGATCTCCCCTCATTCACAGAAACAAACACAAAATCCACAGGTCCTTGGTGCAAGGGGGGTCATGGTGAGGTTCTCAGTCTAGCTGGCCATAACACTGGCCAGACCCACCAAGGACCCGAGCACCTCGGTCATCCTTCCAGCACCCCTGCAACACCAGGGCCAGGCTCTCACCTCACCTCCATGGTGTCCCTCACAGGTGGCTCGCTCGGTCAGCGTCCACGGACACGGCTACCTGACCCTAGCCCTGAAGGACGTGCCAGGGCTACGGGACTTCTACAGTGGCTTCAGCTTCCGGACAAGCCAGCGCGAGGGCCTGCTCTACCACCACACCACCCAGGTGGGTGCCTACAGTCCCCCCAGGCATCCTGGCAGCAGGGCAGAAACGTCAGCTCCTGCTCTGGGGGTGCTGCAGTAAGATCTGCACCCTGAGCTCCCAGAGGGCAGTGGGGAAATGGGCCCTTCCTTGGGGTTCAGCTGCTGAGCAGCAATGGGGTGATGCTTTTTGCAGGAGGGGACGTGCCAGGTGTCCCTCCAGAGGGGTCAGCTGGCCTTGAACCTGATGGAAACCAAAGTCACCACCGAAAATGCTTATGCAGATGATAGGACCCACTACGTGGCCTTCTACAGCGATGCCCGTGGGTACGTGTCCTGGCGGTGCATGGGGGTGGCATGCCAGTGGCCTTGGGGACCCTCTCAGCCCACGCTGCTCATCCCCCGCAGGGTCCGACTGTACGTGGATGATGAACTGCAGGACACCGCAGCAGGCACTGGGTCCAGCCGGCGACAGCAACGGCAGGACAGGCGGCCACTCTTCCATCTTGGGGGCTCACCAGAGCCAGGTGCCCTCAGCAACCTCACTGGCTGCATCGGGAACGTCTTCGTCAAGCGGTGAGCATTGACGTGCTCCTTCCCACAAAGGGGGTCAGCCCCTTCATTCCTCCTGGCTGGCCCAGTGACGGGGACCCTTTCTCCCTGTGTGTAGTACGTCAGAGCCACAAATGGTGGTGGACCTGCAGCAGAACATGGAGAGTGTCAATGTCACCATGAGCTGTCCTTGGGGTGAGCAACCGCAGCAGCTCAGAGCCACTCTGAAGAAGAACAGGCGGAAACCCAAGGTACCAGCTGCTGCCAGAGCTCCCCACATCCTCCTCCCCTCAGACGCCACCGTTGTCCCCTCCCTGGCCCCTGCCGGAATGCTCCCCTCACCCCCTTCTTTTTTCGCGGCACACGCCGCCTTGCATGGCCCGCCGCCACGATCGGGGTGGGCTCTGCCAGCTGCACCCACAGCCCCGTGTGGCCAGGGGCACCTTCCGCTTTGGGGGTGCTCCAAGCAGTCGCTGGGAGTTCGAGGACATTCCAGCCTCCTTCGGCCAGAGGTGAGGCTCGCCCCACGCCTACCGCACACAAGCTCAGCCCGGGGACTGTCGCTTGGAGAAGAGATGTCCCTTGCAATTGTGGGAGAGCAGGGTGCTCCCATCAAACCCCTGTTTCTGCAGGTCCCATTTCTCCCTGGAGGTGAAGCTGAACTCCTCCAGCGGGCTGCTCTTCTACGTGGCAGGTGAGCAGGGCACCTTTATGGCTCTCTTCGTCTCCAACGGGCGCTTTGTTTTCCTGGTGGACGTCGGCGGGCACCGGCTGCGCATCCGCAGCAAAGACAAGTACCGCGACCGGCGGTGGCACACGGTGAGCGGAGGGTCAGGGCTCAGCAGGACCTCCTTGAGCCACAGTGCTCCTGTGAGCCCCCCCATTGCTGGGTGCCCGTGCAGGGGGTAACTCGGTGCAGTCCTGCTCTGGGCATCGCTTCCTAATTGCACGTGGGACACCCACGATCCCATGGGAGCAAAGGGGACAACACAACCACAGCCAGGGCTGGCTGAACCTCCGAGCCGAGGTCTCCCTTCCCTGGGAGCAGCCCTGGGGGCTCCTCCCAACCTAGGAAGCCCCCAGCCCCAGCACTGACCTTTCATCCTTGCAGGTCTTCTTCAGCAGAGACCAGAGCCGAGCCCAGCTGGTCATCGATGGGTTGCGAGCCCAGGATGCTGCAGTGGCCACCACAAGGCTCTTTGTGGCCCGAACCCCTTTGTATGTGGGGGGGATCCCAGCTGGAAAAGCCAAGGCTCACATACCGGTAAGGATTTGGTGGCCCTAAGGCCTCGCCTTATCTCAGCCAGCTCCCAGTCCCGTGGCATTGCCCCATGCCTGCACTCTTTGGCCCCCCTGCGCTCACTCTGGTGGCCACTTTCCACAGGTTGCATCAGCCTCCAGCTTTGATGGCTGCCTGCAGAACCTACAGCTGGATGGGAGGCCCCTGGGTCCCCCCTCACGCACCTTTGGGGTGACACCGTGCTACGAGGGTGCACTGGAGAGCGGGGTCTTCTTCGCTGCGGATGGCGGGTCCATCGCCCTAGGTACCCCACAGCAGCCTGGCTGGCTCCCACACCCTGGGACTGGGAAGGACACATCTCAGAGGAGTTCCCTTGTCCCCCTCCTCACCCGTAGCGTTTCTCTTCCAGTTGATGCAGTGACAACCAAGCAGGACTTGGAGGTGACACTGGAGGTCCGTCCCCGCAGTGCCTCTGGCCTCATCTTCCACATCAGCACGAGGAGAAGCCACCATCTCCTGTTATACGTGGAGGAGACGAAGGTAGCAGGAGGGTGGCTTCCCAGCAGGTTTTCAGAGGCAGCAGCCATCTCCTGCCTTACCCCGCTCAGCTCACTGGGCTCTAATGGGTTTGTCTCACACACCAGGTCACTGTGAGAGGGAACGCTGGGGCTGATGAGTTCTCTGCATCGGTGACATGCCCATCTCTCTGCGACGGACAGTGGCACAGCATCGCAGGTGAGGTGACAGCCAGCGCTTGGCTCTGGGGCACTGCTCCACTCCTGCTGCTTCCATATCTTCTGGGGGGAGCCTGGGGCCCTTCCTCGGGTATTTAAACCCCAGCTCCCACCTGTATGCACTTAATTTGGGAGATTGCAGCTGCCATTAAATCATTTCCTGATTAAGAGTCCTTGCCTGATCTTGTTAGTACTGTCAGGTCTGGGGGGCAGGGGGCGGTGGCGGTGTATCCCCAGGTCACGGAGCGGCTGGCGAGGCCGGGGCTGTCCCACGGTCCTGCAGGACCAGTCCTGGCCTCAGCCCCATCCCGGGCTCTCCGGAAAGCGAAAGCCCGATTTGCACAGGTTGAGTCCAAAGGGCTCAAAGCCCGCAGCTGGGACCAGGGGTTTGCAGGATTCACCCTGGTACGGGCAAAACTCACCCTTTAAGCTATTTGCCATCAAGTGTGTGCTCAGGTTTTGCATCAGCCCTTTCTAGGAGCGGGGGGGAGTCACAGCTCAGTGCAGCTCAGTTTTAAGCCCTCGTCTTGTGTGACCCAGCACTGGGTGAGAGCCATCAGGGGCTCCTGGTGCATCTTCAGCTCCAGGCCCCCTCTCCCCATCCACGGCCGGAGCCAGTCTGAGCGGATCCCCTTGTGCTCAGCGTGTGCTTGTCCCACCACCCTGGGCGGGGGCAGCCCTCTGCACTGCATCAGACATGGTGCTTTATGGGTGGCTGCTGTGGCCAAGGGACAGACTTTGGGTGCTTCCCAAAAGCCAGGCCAGCTCCTCTGACTCTCCCAGTAGTTTTGCTCTGCTCCAGCACTGGTCTGTGCCGGAGGGCGGAGGTGGCCTTGCTCTCCGGGTGAGGCAGCAGCACTGACTCTTGTTTTCTTTTGAAGTTACCAAATGGAAAAACGTAATCCGGGTTGATGTGGACACAGAAGGCAACTACACAGTGGGACCCAGCCAGCCCCCTGCACCCAGCACAAGGGCGACCTTCTACGTGGGAGGGCTGCCAGGTGAGTTGGGCGGGATGCGCTCCAGAACAAAATACCCCAAAGCCAAGAGAGCTACTACTCCAGGTACAGGACAGAGGTACAAAACCCCCTCCCTCTTAGTAGCCAGACTAATGCTTGCCTTCACTTGTTCCTTCTGCAGAGACGGACAAGGCCAGCGCGCTGTCACCGTTACCTCCCTTCCCTCATTACGTGGGCTGCATAAGGAACCTGGTGATTAACCAGAGCCACGTGGACCTGCCGCGAGCCGGGACTGTCAGGGGCTCCATTGGCCTTAAGGGCTGCCCGGTGCTGTAAGTGGGTGCACCTCCGCGTACAGCCTGACCGACGGAAAGCTGCGCTGCTCCCTGGGCCCAGACGTCACCTACTCAACAGCGTTAACCGTGGTCAAACATACTTGATCTCCACTGACTGCAGGCGCAAGTCTGGGGCCAAAACCAGAGCGGGGCCACACATCCAAGGGGAAGGAGGGCGGGGAGGAAGGTGGGGCGAAGGGGGCACTTGGGGGATGTCTTTCACAAATATAACCAAAAAAGGTGGAGCAGGATGTGGAGACAGGTCTGAGTCCTTCCCCGCTGGTCAAACAGCTGCACCAGGACTGGTGCTGCTAATGGCTCACGGTAAGAGCAGCTGTCCTCTCCAGAGCACGGGCTGAAGCAAGCAGCAGCCGTGCATCACGTCCTAAATCCTGTTCCCTTTACCCCACACTTACAATGCACGTAGATTTAGTTCACAGAACACTTGAGGCTATTAATAACAGTCACAGACTGTCTTCTGCTAAAGGCTGTAGGCAGTTTCTGTTTTATAATAAATGCAATTAGGACAAACTGGATTAATTCCGTCACTTTTGTGTTTTTATAAGCAAGGACGCATTTAACCTCCCCCAAGGACAGCCTCAGTTCACCTGCCACTGCTGCGCAAAGAGCTCTGCGAGGGGGAACTTGGACAAAATTCTGTTCACAGAATTAGCATCTTCTATCAGATTAATTTATAAGAATCAAAAAAAGGAGCAAAATAGGCTGGGAAAACTGCTGAGGGAAAGCAGAAAGACACAAACACTGCTCTGACTCGCTGCAGTTGCATTCAGCGCTGGTAGATAACACTGACAAAAGTCCTGTTGCGTGAAGCAAGAAACTGTTGCTCGAGAGGGAAGCACTAAGGGTAGGTTACCTCCGAGCCTGGCTGGGTGTGAGGGGGGTCAGCCCCCACCCACCCCACCAGCAGCTGCCTTCTGCTCAGCCTCACTCACGCTGGTGTAGCGCAGTCTTCACTTGAACAAACTTTCTTCTCCCAAGACACTTAGTTCACTTGTGCACTTACACGTCATCATATATATATTTGTGTGTGTGTGTGTATATATACCTAGCCACTTGGGGACAAAAATCTTGCTTCTGAAATGGACTTATAACTTATATCGTTATATTGTGGGGTTTTTTTATGAGGGGTAAATATTGTAAAATGGGTTTTTAACATGTCCATCTTAAACAAATGTAATTATGACCTGGTTTTAAGTTGTAGTATTAAAGATGGTCTTTGTAAATCACTGGTACATACTTTGGAGTCAAATAAAGTTCTATGTTACTCTCTTTCACTTCACTGGTGAAGATCCACTCTGAGACTGATGTAGAACTGGAAGAGGAACAGTCTCCACCCAGGAAGTGGCGCAGTGGGGAACCTTACGGCTGTTACTCGCCACAAACAGCTCCCTTGGGCAGCGCTGTGGGAGCTGCTCTGTAATTCCTTGTACGCCAGCTGAGCCTCCTCCTGCCAAGAGTGAAGACCTGCCCCAGGACAGGGCAACCCTTGCAGCAGTACCTGGGGGCGATGGGGGCAGCTGGCAGCCCTGCAGATCCCAACCTAGTGGGCCCAAAACTGGATGACAGTCAGCACTGGGTCCTCAAGCTCCTCCTTACTCAGATAACCACAGGGCTCCACCCTTTTAGCACAAGGAAATTGGAAGAATTGGTCTAGGCTGACGTCAAAAGCATCAAAACTGAACACTAAGCATCTCTCTCTGCTGAAAATAAAGAGCAATAAAGCTGCTTAGGTGCAGGTTAAATAGATTGAGAAAGAACAGTATGGCAGATAAAGAAAATTCCTTTATTTGTAGATTTATATAAGCATAATATGAAGTTAGTAATCCTACTGCAGTTGCTTAAGTTAGTATCTAGGAATATGTGTAAGGAAGAGCAAATAACTTAATCTAAACTCATATCTTCCTCTTCATCTTTCTTGTCCTTAGCGTCTCCTTCCTTTTGGTCTGACTTGACACTGTTCTGCATTGCTTTGGCAAACGCTTCTACATCTAGAAGTTAAACACATCAGTTATTTAACTTTGCACTTTCTGGGGTGGAGTTCATTGTCCACACAGGGTTAAGCGTCATTACTTAGAAAATAATTACTTTAATACACTCTATTAGCAGGGAAGAAAATTTCAACAGTCCATTAATACAGAACACATATTTGGATCTCCCAGACATGGCCAGTGTTTTCTGCGCTTGAACTCTGGGCCTAAGACCAGAATTATTGCCCTTGTGGAAGGATGCTGCAAGTTCCTCAGGGAAAACCATCAGCCCTGCCCAGAGCCGGAGGGCACAGCTGGGCACTCACTGCAAATGACTTACTAAAGACTCTCACAGAAAGTCATTCCTGAGCAAGATATGACATCTCCAGGGCCTGTTGTAGCTCTACCAAGAAAACAATGCCAAGGCTGCTCAGCACTTCGCTCTGCAGAACCCTGACTTCTCTAAATGTAGGCCTGACATCACACTGTATCTGCTGGGGAACACCTGAGCCACTGGCCTTTTCCTTGTAAAAAAGAACAGCACAAGAGGCAGCTCCTGACAGTTACTCAGCAGCTGATCATTACATTCCACACTCTGTGTGCAATGCAACAACAAAAAAACAAAACAAAAAACCCCAAACAAAACAAACCCCAACAAACCACTTCACCATGTTCCTGACAGCGCCAGTACTTACCTCCTTTATTTGCTGCATCTACTGCCTCTGTGGGTAAGCCAAACTGACTCATTAGCGGGCCAAGCTGTCCCGAAGCTAAGGCAGCACTGAACATGCTCAATGCCTGTGAATTGGAGTCAACAGAGTCAAAAAAAAAAAAAAGTTTGCATCATGTTTCTCCAGCATCAGGTGGCTACTGTGCAATACCCATGTGAGGCGAGCAGTCCAGTACGGGGTGACCGAGCAGCTGCTCTCCTTTTAAGAACTACCGTCCTGGGCACAAGCTTACAAACACCGCTACAATGAACTGTTTGCTCTTCACCAGGTAGTTGCCTGTACGCACAAGTTGATAAGCTGTGCTAGACCGACACACCAACCAGTGACACAACCTCCAGTCAGTTCAGGGCATGGACAACTTCAGTCTTACCTAGATGCAGAAACTCTATCAAATCACCAATTAAAAACATCCCTCATTTCCAAGTCTTGTCTGCACAAAAGAGTTGCCGTGTTTTAAACTAAAACAAGACATCTTAGCCACTGAAACTTTGCAAATTGACAGATTTCAGTGTAACTAGTTCAAATTGGCCTGTAATACACCAGCTTCAATCACACACAGACAGCTCTGGAATTAAGTACTAGTGTTTCAGGAGGAACAAGGGACGTAGCGCTGTAAACATGAGCATCTCTTCAGTCAACTTGAGCTGACCATTGCTCACAAGCCATTCTGACAGGGAAAAATGAATTTGCTACTACTCCTGTTATTGGCCATAGAGCATTTATAATAAAGAGAACAGTAAAGCCCAATTCCAAAAGAAAAAGCACAAGCACTCTGATTTTCCCTTGGGTTAGTGCAGAAAGGAAGAACTAGTGCTCCATTAAATCACGTCCCTCCTCCTTTCCAATTCTACAGAGAAACTTCCCACTCTGAACAGTGTCAGGAACCTGAAAAAATCAGGGCAAGGCTCATCATGGTGCATGGGGAGAAGGGGAGGAGACCTGCACTTCCCACAAGAGCTCAGCATCTACCTGCTGAAACTGAGGAGACGTCAGGGTATTCTGAATCTCTTCTGCAGTCTGCGGCAGGGATTCCCCTGAGGGAAGGTAAGGCATCAACCGCTCCTGAACTTCAGCGTTGGCCAGGATGGGAGCCATTATCTCAGGAGTCAGAACGGTTGCCAGGTCAACTAGGAAGAAAATAAATGGTTGGTTGTTAGACTATGCACAAAACCCCATGTTTCTGTCATGTAAACCAAACAGTCTGGTCAGAGGAGTACTGAAATGTAGTTAGCAGACTGCCAGCATCCTTTTCTCCCTCTCTCAGTTTTGGAGTGAGAATAAGACTCTTGAAGCAGCCAAGAACAGTACTCCAATGAAAAAAAGAACCAAAAAAATTTAAAAGACCTTTCAAACCAATTTGGAACAGGACAGGACAGTAAAACAGCTCCAGAGGACTCCTGGATCCAACAGCTGTCTGGGCAGAACACCATTACCTTGCTGTCCTCCTGCTCCAGATGGCACATTCATAGTAGCTAAAATGTTCTGAAGGTCACTCAATTGAATGGGCTGGGTTGGGCTTGTGGCTGAGCTGGTTCCATTACCCGAACTTGGTACAGGGCTCGGACTGGTCACAGACGCAGCCGCAGGAACAGACGGGGCAGGCGTTACACGCGTAGAAGAAGTTGTGGAAGATGGTGTCACAGCAGCTGATTGGCTGCGAGAGCTGGAGGAGATAATTAGTATAATTAATTCCCTGCAGAAAGCAGCTTTGCCTCTTGTATTTTGAAAAGCTTCTTGTCAAGCCCTTACAATATGAAGGGCTCCTTCCCTCATTAAATTACCCTCATCGTCTAAAAGAGGCAATAAGCAATCTGAATTCCATCATACTTCCTGTTCGGTAGGCCACAATTCCTCTCACAGCAGTGGCAACTTTGTGTGACATTAATACTACAAACCCAGAGCGGACGGGCATCCTACCTGGATGATGAACTGCTGGTCGGGGGTCCCCCACTTCCAAGCAGACTGGCCAGCCCAGGACCTGTCAGCGCACCCAGCCCACCTTCCATAAACATAAAAGAAGAAGAGGTTTAGAAATTTACTTCTTCAGGTTTTTTGCACCTCTCTGCTCTAGAGAGGTCACTCTTGTACCTGAAAGGTTTTATTTGCTAAAATAAAGGAGGAGGGGGTGAAAGACCCCAGACCAACCCCCCCGCCCCTTTCTGTAAATTAACAGCTCATTTTCTGATCTTGCATCCCTATCAGAAAACTGCCTTAGAGTGTTGCACATTTTAGAAATGACTCAATTTCTAGATGTGCACAAATTACTTTTGATTTGTGCATGA